ATTGTACTTTTTATATTTTACATTTATATTTATTATTGCATTTTCCACCAAGGGAGTGGCACTCCAATTTCGTTGTATTCTATTCTATTCTATTCTATTCTATTCTATTCTAGTGCTGATATGCTGTGTTTGGTTGCAACTTTGCATTTCTAAGCCGTGGTGCCATGTTCTTTTTTAGAGAAAACGTAGCTTCCTCCTGTTAACCCTTCCTGACAAGCCATATTTGTTCAGTCTTTATTTAATTGTGCTGTCATGAACTTTAACATTTAACACGTTAACTGAGGCCTGTAGAGTCTCTTGGGGTTTTTTTTGTTGTTGCAGTTTCTCTGAGCATGCACGGTCTGACTTTGGGATGAATATTCTGGGACATTCACTCTTAGGAATATTGGCAGCTGTCATGAGGTGATCCACACCTGCACACTGACAAAACTTCTGCTTTCACAGAGGTGCTCACACTTGATGAAGAACCATTATTCCCGTACATTTGATGAGGAATTCCCAGCTGCTACTTACCCTCCTAATTCTTTATGGACGCGGTAATCGTGTGATTAGATTCTCACGCCGTTTCTACATTTTTCGCCAGTTTTTGTTAAATAACGACATGGAGCTGTATGTTATGTGTTGTTGTTCATCTGGGGTTTTGCTTACTTCATTTTAACCTGCTCAGGACCAGATGATTGTCTTAACATGTCCTGATATGTAAAACTGAACTTTCTTTTTCCCATGACTGAAAGTTTCTGTTAGGATAAAAGTGCAATATAACAAAGAATGATTTCATCCACAGTGTGACTACCTCTGTAATGTGTGTCATAATAGTTAGCGTGTTAGGGTTAAAGTTTCCTGTCATCCTCTAGGGGAACAAATCAGTTCCTTTAATGCTCAACTGCTGAAAGTCTGAGTCACAGATACAGAAACTGGGATGCATTGATATTCTGTGCATACATTCCTATAGAAGATTTCAGGCTGTGATCAGTATGTTGTTTGGTTGAAATGATTTATGAGCCAGAATGTTTTAAACAAACTGTATTTCCACTTTATCCCCAGGTGATGATTTTAGCCTTCCAAGACTAAATGCAAATAATGATAGGCCAATACATTTTGGGTTTTTTTCCGTAACGACAACAGTGTCTCTTTCACTCTCTGACTATGATATTAATCATGATGCAGAAGGCAAGAGGGGAAGTGTGAGATCAGCTTTTTAATGAACAAAGAAACTCGTTCATGATTCACTCTGTCGACCTGAAAACGACCTGAAACCTGCAGAGCAGCTGATCACCAGCAGATTTCCAATAAAGGTCAAAGGTTCTGGCTGATTACAGAAGAATGTAAACAACAGATCCACTGTGGACAGTGTTGGGGAGTAACGGAATACACGTAC